CCCCCCCCCCCCCCCCCCCCCCCCCCCCCCCCCCCCCCCCCCCCCCCCCCCCCCCCCCCCCCCCCCCCCCCCCCCCCCCCCCCCCCCCCCCCCCCCCCCCCCCCCCCCCCCCCCCCCCCCCCCCCCCCCCCCCCCCCCCCCCCCCCCCCCCCCCCCCCCCCCCCACCCCCCCCCCCCCCCCCCCCCCCCCCCACCCCCCCCCCCCCCCCCCCCCCCCCCCCCCCCCCCCCCCCCCCCCCCCCCCCCCCCCCCCCCCCCCACCCCCCCCCCCCCCCCCCCCCCCCCCCCCCCCCCCCCCCACCCCCCCCCCCCCCCCCCCCCCCCACCCCCCCCCCCCCCCCCCCCCCCCCCCCCCCCCCCCCCCCCCCCCCCCCCCCCCCCCCCCCCCCCCCCCCCCCCCCCCCCCCCCACCCCCCCCCCCCCCCCCCCCCCCCCCCCCCCCCCCCCCCCCCCCCCCCCCCCCCCCCCCCCCCCCCCCCCCCCCCCCCCCCCCCCCCCCCCCCCCCCCCCCCCCCCCCCCACCCCCCCCCCCCCCCCCCCCCCCCCCCCCCCCCCCCCCCCCCCCCCCCCCCCCCCCACCCCCCCCCCCCCCCCCCCCCCCCCCCCCCCCCCCCCCCCCCCCCCCCCCCCCCCCCCCCCCCCCCCCCCCCCCCCCCCCCCCCCCCCCCCCCCCCCCCCCCCCCCCCCCCCCCCCCCCCCCCCCCCACCCCCCCCCCCCCCCCCCCCCCCCCCCCCCCCCCCCCCCCCCCCCCCCCCCCCCCCCCCCCCCCCCCCCCCCCCCCCCCCCCCCCCCCCCCCCCCCCCTCCCCCCTCCCCACCCCCCTATTCAGCGGCTGGCTGAGTCGTTGCGATTTTTTCGGCGCGATTTTACATTTTAAAACCCCCTCCTTTTTTTACTCCGGCCGCTGTCCCCCCAATACTTTTTTAAATGTTTCATTTATCTATATTAAAATAAAGTAGGTGTTTGTTTGTGTATAGTGGTCAATGAAATATGATTAAATTCGAGGGGGGGGGGGGGGAGTCATTTTTCTTCCTTCAACATGTGATATCGATATCGACTAGTCAAGTTGCTGACGTCATTTCTAGAAGGAGGAGAAGGAGAGCGGATGTTTACGTTTTAAAAGGAACTTCAAACAAGTTTAATTTCCTCGTGAAAGTCCTAAAACATCACGATGTGGGTTCGTCCAGAGGAGGTTCTTATTGCAAATGCTTTGTGGTGAGTAAAATCTATTTTTTACACCATGTATGAACCGTAAATCTGAACAGACCGGAACTCAGTGTATCGTTTTCTCGTAAACTGTAGTCCCGCGCATCAATTTTTGTGTTATCAGGTTATAAATGATAATGGATGCGGGATGTTTGTTGTTGAATTGTCTGTGAAAAGTCAATGACAATGTAATGAGCTTGGGAATGTCTCTGAAAGTAATGATGTTGTTTGATATTTTATCCAAAGACCAAAGCATGAACATTATAGGACCATTTGAATATAGGGCCTAGTCTATACTAATTGTGTAAACGTTGCATTGGTAGTCACAAGATAAGAATAAGATTAAGAGAAGAACAGGAGTTTGGGAAATGAATGAGTTTTTCATTTGTGAACATTTTTTTTTTCGGGGAGGGGGGGGGGGGGCTTAGACTAGACCCCTATTAAATTGCAGATAAATTTTAAGTCTGTGAGTAAGACTAAGAGAAAGAAAGGACAGAACATTTACTAAAAGACCATCTAATTTTAATGAGAAGTGATTTTTCCCCCAACACTAAAACAGATTGTGTGTTTTGTGTCCCAACCAAAAAAATTACTTTTTTTTTTACGAGGGCTCTTTTCAGATTTTCCCTTTAAAAAATAGCCCCCCCCCTCTAATTATTTTGCGGTGGCTATTTTGGAGCTCAGGGGGGCTTTTTTTTGTTAAGGTTGTATTTTTTAAAACATGGTTTTACCTACTTAAATTCCAAGCAAAGGCAAATATACATACAAATGTAACGTACATACAACTACATGTAGACCTACATGTATGTCATGTAGAGTATTGCAGACATTCAGATACCCATGATTTATTCACTTTGTGTTAAACACGTGGCGTACTATATGATTTACATGTACATGTAACTAAAACTTGTCAAAGGAGTGTTTTGTTCAACTGTTCGTTTTTCATATCATAAGAAAATATTGTCACTGACAGTTTAACTGACACGCAGGCTAGGAATTAATTTTTGTATGGGGGCTACTTTTCCCCAATGCATTGCCTAAAACAAAACAAGGGGCTACTTTTGAAAAAAAGGGGGCTCCTTTCTGAAAGCCAAATTGTAAGCTGTAACAATAAGTTGTGTTTTTCCTTAACCATCATACTACTAGCAACCAAATTGGTAGGTAATATGTTATTGAGTCTTTTTTTTCTGTCCCGAATTGTTATCATGGACAATGCGATCCCATTAAAAACAAATGTAACTCCGTTCAAAATTGTGTTATTCATAACTTAAAACCATTAAATGTGAGTGAATATTTTTACTGTTGTTCCACATACCGATGTATTTGATGTATAACCCTAACGAATCATGCAAAATCATGGCCATATTTTTCCCCCGGTATAGACTGTTATTCTAAAGGCCAAGCCAAAGCTAGTTTCATTTCGTAGACTCGGGCTGAAATTGATGCCATCACTCAGGCCTGACATCGTATATAAATAATATAATTTAATTAGACAGTTGTAAGAAAAATTCTGAGGTATAGGGAGATCATTATATATTCATTTACGGGTTATAACAAAATTTTATTTCTGTCTACGAACCTAGCTTTATACCGATTTTACAGGAAAAAAATCAGGCATTGATTTTGCACGTTTCGTTATAACAAATATATCGGTATGTGGGACAACAGTAAAAATATACTCGCATTTCATGGTTTTAAGTTATAAATGACACAATTTTAGACGGAATAACATTTTTTTTAATGGGATTGTATTGTCCATGATAAAAATTTGGGTCAGAAAAAAGACAAAATAAACATATTACGTACCAATTTGGTCGCTAGCAGTTCAGCACTCGTCACTCGTAAATACTTATTTCCTTCATACTAGGAGCGCGTGCGCCGCTGGAGCTGGGCTAGTTTCTGTGTATTGTGAATGTGTGCGATCTGCGTATGCATCATGTGCACGATCCGAAACTACCGTATTTCCATCGGGGGCCTGGCCGGCCGGCCGCGCGAGAGCTTAGGCGGTTACCGATCTACATGTACTGTAGCTACACTAGGTACGACCGCCGATCCGCTGCAATCACAAAACTTTTAAAATGTTGATGGAAGTTTCTAGTTTTGGAGTTGGTAGTTGGAACTGAGATTTCAATCAGACACATCAATAAGTTGATTTATTAATTCCTAGGGAATATCAATTTATGGCGGGGGCGATTTTTCATCAATTTTTTTCGCCCTCGTCTTGATTTTTACTGTGGCAATTTCAGAGGTTTAGGGGCGAATTGCCCCTCGCCACCGAGTGTTGTGTCCCGACTCATGTGTTTGTTAATCGTTCACTTGATAATTGCACGTGCGTCATTATGATAGGGGTCTACGCATTTACTTTTTCCAATAACTTGTTACACCAGAATTCATGGCATTTTAATGATCAAGTTCATTTGTAATTTATGAAAAAACTAAGCCCCAAATGAATTGGAACATGTTTATTTCAAATTAAAAAATTCAACATGGTGATATGATTATTCATTTTTCTATAAATTCATATTTTACAACAGAGAATCTATTTTTTGCAATGTTTATTCAAAGCCTGTCTGCACTAGTTTGGCCAAGAGTGGTTATAGTTTAGACCTCCCTGCGTGGTCACAGACAGGTGGTTATTTCGTCAAATCTGCTCTTAATTAAGAAAAAGGGTATCATGGGAGAACAACAGGTACCACGTAGGCATTGTTTGGTATAAAGAGGGCGCAAGTAGCTATAAGTAGTGCAGTCCTGATTTATATTAAGATGTTTTTTTTAAATATGTACATTAAACAAAATTTCAAACTTGGATGGTATAAAAGATTAGATTTCAACATGTTCAATGTGACTTTCATGATACCACAGGATCACAGAGCGGGCGAATCCATACTTTGCGCTTCAGAGACGCAAGGGTCACGGAGGGGGAGGATTGACCTCTCTCGTTATTGGAACTTTGGACTCGGTCCTGGACAACAAGTCTGCGCCTTACCGCATCTTACACCAGACACCTCAGTCAGAGCTCTATCATAGTAGGTGTTTTGATGTTAGTGATGATGATGATGATGATGATAATAATGATGCTGTTGGTGGTGTTGAAGATGGTAATAATGATGATGAAGATGATGTTGGAGATAATGTCAATGGTAATTATGACAATGATGATGCTGCTGGTGGTGTTGAAGATGATTATGATGATGGTGGTGGTGATGATGATGATGATGATGATGATGATGATGTAGATGATGATGGTGATGATGATGGTGATGATCATTATGATTATGGTTACAGGGATGATAATGATGATGATGTTGCTGCTGCTTTAAAATGATAAAGTTGATTATGAAATATAAATATAGTTATAATAACAAATCATGCTTATGGCAATACCAATAATTATAAAGATGCTGATGTACATTGTAGATATGGCGATGATAGTGAAAACCAAAAAGATAAACTGAAATAAAGTATGGTAGTGGCATTATGTTCCCATCATTTAAAAATAATATTTGTAGTACCAGTTTTCGTGACAATTACTATTTTATTTCTTTGTCTTTTTCATCCTACAGCCATAGCAACTGCACTTCACAAGAAAGACATCATAAAACACTGGGAATGGATTGAACAGAATCTCATGGTGACTCTCGGTAAGGTTAACTTTATAAAGATTTAATTTTGCATTTCGTTTTTATAGAAAAAGTCTAAAAGCAAAAAATGGAAGATTTTGTACTGTGTTTCTCAAGAATTGATGTGAAACAACGGGTCTTTGAATCATCAGATTTAAAAAGAAAAGGACAAATAATTTGAAAATTAATTGAAAGTTGTTGATAATCCCATTCACTGTACACAGAAATGGATGTATTGGACTACGCACTCATTTTGCATGAAAGTTTGGTGATTACAATGAAGTTCACTTCTTTATTTTCTGGCCTTCAAAAGGGATACAATACCTGAAAGTGTTTGAATTGCAGACCATTACTGCTTGAATGGTCTGATAAGGTCATTAAAGCTAGAGAAGGACAAATAGGAAATGACCTGTATGTACATGTAGGTCACAGGAAGGTCACATTGAAGGCCAATGATTAAATTCATGTTTCCTGGTTTTGGAGGTAGTTTGTCAGTCATGCGTAAGGGTGTCTGTATTGTGAGACTATTCCTGACTGCATACATGGTAAATTGCACACTATAGGCTTTGTACATTCGCTGCTCCGTATTGGAGACAGCAAGAGACTGACAGAGCTAGGCTCTACTCAAGGCTTTAAGAATTGTGGTAAAGTGTCAGATTACAGCCTGTGATTTAAGACTAGTTTGGAGACAATATTTTAATGCACATGGGGAATACATTTTACCTTTGTTAGATGAGGTTGATTCTTTTATAGCAGACTTTAGAACCATAAATATCGCAGAAATAAACCTTAAAGGTAATACAATGTTTTGGGAAAATTTGAAAATGGACGGATAGCGAATTTTTTAAATGTTGATATATTTGGATGCCCCTGAGGATGTATTATAAGCACTAGAAAATTTAGCTCCTAAAACACTTCTGCTTTCAAGATAAATTAAGATAAATTAAGTATCAAAATTTACTGGTGCTCCCGGTAAATTCCAAATAGCGCCTCTACGGCCATCCAATGGTAGCTGCGACCATGAAAATCTCAGAATGTGCAGTTGTGGTGTATAATTTCCAACGGGTATAGCCAATCAGTCGACTTTAGTCAAGAAACATTGTTTTAAGGCTAAATTAGTATATTAACCTTGAGAGGGAGCTATACAAAATAAAGAGTTTAGTATTTACAATTTCATCACTCAATTTCAACTGCGTCAACGATCACTGAATATTGTTGATCGCATATGCTTCCAATCTGTTCATTTGAACCAAATTCGTGAACCCACACCAAAACTTTATATTACCTTTAAGCCTCTGAATTCATCCCTACTGCGTATTTAAATTCAATTTAATGCCCAGGAAATACAGGAAATTGCTAATAGCTCATGTTTTCCAAACAAAGTTGACCCGATATTTTTTCATAGCCAACTTTATCCTGTTGTCATACATGTAGATAAATTTAGTTTTGTTTAAGATGTGACACATTGTTTTAAGTGGTATAATGGAGCTTTTTTATGCATCAGCACTTTGTCAAAATTCTGGAATTTTAAAATGTAAATGCTTATTATATTTTTTATGATGAATTTTTATCTCTATTTTTACCATTTATATTTTGTGTTCATCTTATTATTTATATGTTTATTTTTTGTTTGGGATGTGAGTGGATATATTTACATGTGTACTTTATGTCTATGTCTAGTATTATTTTTATTTACCACTATTTTTACTATTTATATTTTACTTTAGATAACTTTGAAGCAGACGAGGATGTGACTGAGTTTGTGAAGTGTAAGATAGAGAGCCTGGTGGCCAACGTAGAGACGGCAACACCCACAGAGACTAAAGAAGGTAAAAATTTGAATTCCTTAAAGATAATATGTCCCTTTTGCAGCAATAGTCAAATTCTGTAGAACTTTGCAGGAATTATAAAAATGTCATGTACAGTATGTCCTATCTGTGAAATTTAAACATTAGCAGTGTCCCAGTATTCAAATTATGCAAGGAAACCTGTTAACCTGCTAGACTTCACTGTCGGACACTATTGAGTGACTGACATCTATTTTTCTTTGGTAATAACATACATAAAATGAGCTGTAAGGTACATGAGCATTTGTCTACATCGATAACCCACTATTTGTAATGGCCAATATTAAACTGATTGAATCTTTGTGCAGCACAAAACGTACGATCATTCGATAAAAGGGTCTAAAAATCAGACTATTACTTAGGTGATTGCAATCACTTGAGTTGATTTGACAACTAATGGTCGTTATTTTCCCACTAAAAGCCATTATCAAGCACTTTCGTTTGGAGGGAAGTTCTAAATTAGTATTGTCTTTCGAATGCCGTTGGAATTCAACCTTTCGATTTTGTTGGCCTGCAAATGGGACATAGTACCTTTAAAATATATTTTCATACAAATCTCTAATACCTCTACAAGGCTGAGAATTGGTGGTTTTCAAATAGGTGCTATTGTCATCAAAACGCTGTTAAGATGACTTCAAATTGTGATCTCTTTCATTTTGCCCAAGTAAATATGAAAATCTCACAAAATATAGATAATTGGTATTTCAGGCGAATTTTGTGCATTTTAGTGTCAGTGAACCTCAGAACTTGATTAGGGCAACCTGTGTGTTTTTGTAGGCAACTGGTCCAGGTAATGCAAATATGGGTTATTTAGAAGCGCTGAAAGCAAAGAGTATCATAGTGCTTACAAAATAAAAGAATGTGAAGAAGAATAATGAAATGCATAGACTCCTAAAAATAGGTAAATCACATTGAGGGAGGCATAGGAGCCTATGCTTTTAAGGGATATTTTGAAAGAGGCAAGACAGGTTCATTCGATGATGGAAAGTGGGATAACCTTTGACATCTGACATGTTTTTCCAAGCAATACACTGTAGGTTGTAAGTTATCTTTGAAACTGAGACTTACATGTATGTCAATCAGACAAGTCATTTTTATCTGTCAAGTAACACTGTCACTTTTTGTAAGGAATGTCTTTTTAATAACCTTCTATTTTTAAAATTGTTTCAACTCATGTCTTTATATCATTAATTTTTATTTAGTAAATTTTTATGAATGTTGATCTTCATCCGTCTCTTATTATGTGCAGATGAGGAGAGCAAACGTTTCAAGGCCGCCTCTGATAAATGGAGACGGCTCTTCAACATACCCGAAGACGAGAAGCTTGTCAACTGTAAGTACAAATTAAATTGATTTCTAAACAAAAATTATATTTTTCAATTACTTGAGGCCTAAGAAAGAAAATAATAAACTAAAGCGATGCTGTTCTGTAATTCTGTTACCATGTTTTCACAAAAGGTATCACAAAAGTTTGAGCCTAATATACAAATTTGTTGTTGATAGTTGATGTACTATGAGTCGTTTTAAGATAGTGTTTCCCTTTTATTTGTTATTTTAATGAGTGTCCCATTAATCCCTGCAGATAATTTAGCAATTTAAAATTTCAAGTATAAGGACAAGGATAATCCACTAGTATGCAGCGTATGGATGATGTTTGTCTTGTAACTCATTTCTATATTAAAGGGATCCGTTAACTTTGTCTCAGATTCTGAAACAAAATTCTGGATTTAGCTCATGCTGCAATGATAATTATAAACCTTTAGGTCAGTCAGGAACCCCATGACTTTTACAAGCCGATCGCCTGTCTTATTATCAAGATATTCGAAACCAAATTTTGTGTTTGCCTAACAGTTTTCATAACACTACAGTCTATTGGGGAAAACAAGTATGGTAAAACCGGTCACTTAAAGATTTTTATTTTTTGGTGCACTTCTTGATCATTTTGAAGCACAATTTTTTAGGGCTTCAACAGGACACCTTATCACAGTGTTTGTGTAGTCCCATATACATCTTTCTGTGTACAGTGTTTGTAACTTTACCAAGACTTGGCCAAAATTCTTATCATTTTGATGATTCCAGAACCTTGCAATACACACAAGTTCCTATATGCTATATGATCAACCTTTTCTGGTCGATTCCACACCGTTACTTTCACAATGCAATCGCATGACCAGAATTCAACTTCATCTTTAACATTCTTAAAAGGAAAGTCCACCCCCAAAATAAGTTTGTTTCGATAGAGGCAGAATAATAAGAAAATCAGGTGAGTGAAAGTTTGAGCAAATTCTGAATGAAAATAAGAAAGTTATGAATTATTGAAGTTGTGATCAATCAAATACAAATTGGCAACTCTGTGACTTATTATACGAGCTCTCCTTCATTTGCTTTGTGCATAATATTCTATAAAATCATGTTTTCTTTGTTATTGATGACGAAATATATATTTGTTCCTTGCAGGGGGAGTATAGAAACATATTTGCAATTATTATATTTAGGGTGCATGTATGGTTGAAATTTTTCTTGAGGGAAAATGAAAATTTTAGATTTTTTTAGTACTGAGCAAATGGAAGTTGAGCTCATAGTTGACGTCATAGAGTTGCCAATTTGTGTTTGATTGATCACAACTTCAAAAATCCTAACTTCCTTATTTTTAATCGGAATTTGCTCAAACTTTCACTGACTTGTTTCTCTCATTTTTCTACTCCTATTAAAACTAACTTAATTTCAGGGTAGACTTCCCCTTTAAACGATCCCTTTAAGACCTTTCCAATAGATAAATAAAAAAAAATACCAATGGTGCCGATGCAGTATAAATTGGAAAAGCTCTAACCCATGATATATTCATTCTGAGATCTTACATTTCAGATACCATACTAAGAGCTCAGGGAAAAAACACCAAAAAATTATTACATGTATGTTCAGGTTTTTTTCTACAAACAATATACATGTAACAATGATTTTTCTCCCTACCTCTCTAGATTATTCGTGCAGTTACTGGAAGGGGCGTGTCCCTCGCCAAGGCTGGCTCTACCTCAGCGTAGATCACTTCTGCTTCTATTCCTTCCTGATGGGGACCGAGTCCAGGCTCCAGATCAGGTGGACTGAGGTTACTGTAAGTTTATACCCAGGACCTCTTCCACTAAGTCTGTACAATGCAAAGGCACATTATGAATTGTGTGCAATAATTGTGTGCAATAATTGTGTGCAATACTCTTAAAACCCCACTGCACTACTTATAGCTACTTGCGCCCTCTAAATAGCAAACAATACCTAATCGGTGACCATTGGTCCCCCATGATACCCTTTTTCTTATGTTAATTGAGAGCTGATTTGATGAGATAACCATCTGTCAGTGACCATGCAGGGAGGTCTAATCACTCCTGGCCAAACTAGGGCAGAGGGGCTTCAAATGGATATATTTCCTTTGACTCTACAAATAAATACACTCTAACAGGCATGTTTTGTTAAAATATCCCTTTTTGAGAATTGACACTAGGCAGGCAGTATATAAAGAAAAATACAGTGAAACCTGTATAATATATGAATATAGCAACCTCCCAAGAGAAACACAAAAAGTGGTCTTTGTAGGAAGGTGGTCTTTGTAGACAGGTTCCTTTAGTACATGTTTCAATGAGAAACCATTTTCAAGGGAAACAAAAAAATGTGGTCTTTGTAGACAGGTGGTCACTAAAGCAGGTTTGACTGTATTAGTTTACTCACCACCTCCCTTTCACTTCCCCCACCACAGCACCTAGAGAGGAGTAACTCTATCCTCTTCCCGGAGAGCATCAGAGCCAAGACGAGAGAGGGCATTCCTACTTCTCCATGTTCGTCCATCCCGAGGAGACGTTCCAACTCATGCAGCAGCTCGCTAACCTGGCCATGAGACAGCTCCTATCGGAGGAAGGGTTCTCAGAAGACCTCAATCTGCCAGATCGCTCAAAAGTCAAGTATGTGAATGCTCCCATATATAATATTGCAGTGTGTAGAAAATTTAGGGAATGTTTGAAACGCAAGATAAATTGCTCAAAAGTCAAGTATGTGAATGCTCCCATATGTAATATTGCAGTGTGTAGAAAATTAGGGAATGTTTGAAACGCAAGATAAATCGCTCAAAAGTTAAGTATGTGAAAGCTCCCATATGTAATATTGCAGTGTGAAGAAATTTAGGGAATGTTTGAAATGCGAGATAAATCGTTGTACATGTACTGTACCTGTCAGCCATGAAAAAGCTATATCTATACCTGTGGTTATATGAGCAAGTGTGGGCTTGTAAAAATGACTATATTAATAATGTATATACATGCATGATTTGTATACTGATTTTTATTCTAGGTGGTTTAAAAACAAATTGAAAAAAATATTAAAAATCTTGATATATATATAAATGAAACATTTTTGTTTTTCTTCAGGAAAAAAGCCCCAAAGAAGGTTTCCTCCCTCAAGCGAGATCTAGATGCTCGAGCACGAACTGAAGCTTACAGGTAAGAATTGAATTGAATTGAATCGAAATGAATTAAATTGAATTGAATCGAACTGAATTGAATTGAATTGAATTGAATCAAAATGAAATGAATTGAATCGAAATGAATTGAATTGAATCGAAATGAATTGAATTGAATTGAATTGAATTGAATTGAATAGAAATGAATTGAATTGAATTGAATCAAAATGAATTGAATTGAATCGAAATGAATTGAATTGAATTGAATTGAATTGAATTTATTTCCACATCTCCATTTTAAAGATAAGCTTGAGTTCTGGTAATGATAGAAAATAAATTCTCACAGAAAACAACAGACTTTACTGTACATGGATGTGTAGGAATTTAGTAAATATGTTATGAATGAACTAATCCCTCCTCTTCTTATCCTGGCTGTTAGGAGGGTGTTCCGTCTACCGGTAGGCGAGAAGTTGGACGGCAATATCCCATGTACGCTGTGGGCCCCGTACAACAAGTCAAACATTGGAGGTACCATGTATCTCTCTAGGAATTACATCTGTTTTGCAAGCAGGGTAAGTGGATTGTAGGTGGTGGTGGTGGCGATGGTGGTGGTGGTGATGGTGGTGGTGGTGGTGGTGGTGGTGGTAATGGTGGTGGTAGTAGTGGTGGTGGTGATTGTGGTAGTGGGGGTGATGGTGGTGTTGGTGGTGGTGGTGGTGGTGGTGGTGGTGGTAATGGTGGTGGTAGTGGTGGTGGTGGTGATGGTGGTAGCAATGGTGGTGGTGGTGGTGGTGGTGGTGGTGGTGGTGGTGGTAATGGTGGTGGTAGTGGTGGTGGTGGTGATGGTGGTAGCAATGGTGGTGGTGGTGGTGGTGGTGGTGGTGGTGGTAATGGTGGTGGTAGTGGTGGTGGTGGTGATGGTGGTAGCAATGGTGGTGGTGGTGGTGGTGGTGGTGGTAGTGATGGTGTTGATGGTGGTGGTAGTGGCGATGGTGGTAGTGATGGTGGTAGTGAAAGGTGGTGGTGATGGTGGTGATGGTGATGGTGGTGGTGGTGGTGGTGGTGGTAATGGTGGTGGTTGTGGTGGTGGTGGTGATGGTGGTGGTGGTGATGGTGTTGATGGTGGTGGTAGTGGCGATGGTGGTAGTGATGGTGGTAGTGATGGTGGTGGTGATGGTGGTGATGGTGATGGTGGTGATGGTGGTGGTGGTGGTGGTGGTAATGGTGGTGGTAGTGGTGGTGGTGGTGATGGTGGTGATGGTGGTGATGGTGATGGTGGTGGTGGTGGTGGTGGTAATGGTGGTGGTAGTGGTGGTGGTGATGATGGTGGTGATGGTGATGGTGGTGATGATGGTGGGGGTAATGGTGGTAGTAGTGGTGGAGGTGGTGATGGTGGTGGTGTAGATGGTGGTGATGATGATGATTGTAGTGCAAATTATGCAGCTGCTGTGGAGGAGGAGGAGGATAAGGATTAAGGTAACGATGATGATGGTGGTTATAATGATGATAATGGTGAAGATGATACTAAATATGATGATGGTGCTAATGAGATGCTGATTGTTATGATGATAATGATGATGATGATGATGATGATGAGGTGGAGGAGGAGAAAAAAGAGGATTATTGAGATCATATTGTTACTTGAGTTGGTATTTGTAATGATTTTGATGATGATAAACACAATGTATTAAATGTGTGACTTTCAGAAACAATCTTATTCATAAATATTTTGTTTTGTTCTTGTCATTCTCTTTACAGATTAAAAACCTGGTGCATGTGCAAATTCCTATGAGAGATGTGACGGTCGTAGAGAAGGTTGAGAATTCATCCCTCATCACCCAGGGACTACATATATCAACAAGAGCTAAGGTAAGAGGGAATTGATAGTAGCGATGGTGGAGGTGTTTGGTGGTGGTGGTGGTTTTTATTGGTGATGGTGGTAGTGGTTGGGGTGTTGGTGGTGGTGGTGATGGTATTAATAATAGTGATAATGGTGATGGTGATGATTTTGGTGGTAGTAATGATTTTGATGTGATGTTAATGATACAGTCTGATGGAGACGATAATGATGATGATGATAATGGTATTAATAATAGGGATGATGATGATAGTGATGATTTTGGTGGTAGTAATGATTTTGAGGATAGTGGTAGTGGTGGTGATGGTATTAATAATAGTGATAATGGTGATGATTTTGGTGGTAGTAATGATTTTGATGTGATGTTAATGATACAGTCTGTACTAATGATAGTTAGTGCACGTGTGCCTTTCCTCTGACATGTAAGAGCAATCGGAAGCATGGTGATGGTTTTAACATTGACAATAATGACTTAGGTAATTGGGATAAGAAAGATGTGACTTGAATTCTCAATTCCACTATTATTTCAGAGCAGCGTTTCAAAAAGACTAAGATTGACTTTAAGTTGTACTTAACTATGTCGGGCCGGTCATGCCACTGTTAGCTCTCACCATTTACTGGCATTGGTCTCTCATGGGATGTACAAATCATAGTCACAAATCTAAATTTTTTGATAATTCACTATTGAAGGAAAAATACTATCTAAAGATCATAATGGTAAGAGCAAATAGTGGCATGAATGGCCTGCCATAGTTAAGTCCAACTTAAAGTCGATCTTAGTCTTTGTGAAACACCCCCCTGGATGCCTTTCCTCTTAATACATGATGTTCACTTTTCTTTATTTCACAGATGACTTTCCTTTTTGCCCAGCTAACCGAAAGGGATTTTCTGGTCCAGCACATTGCTGACTTTCTTGCAAAAACAACTGAAAATGCAAGGTATTATTCAAAAATGTAAACTGTTAACAACTAAACTATTCATACCAGTTGTAAATTTGATGCCTTTTTGTGCATTTCATAACTGGATTGGGTGACTTAGGGCCTTTATTGAATACTTTTAGATGTAAGCTTGAAGAATTCACATTCTTAAGAAACATTAAATAGGGACAAATCAATTTTCAACATAATTACAAAATTGCAAAACTTGGTAAGGGTATTAATAAATTAGTTGTTCATTGTATGTATGAAAGGGAGCCCTTTTTATTTATTGATCCAGCTTGTAAAATTAGACATTAACCTCTTAATGATATTTGTATGGTTAAACAGACTATTTTGCTCCTATATACACTGTACTGTACATGCACATATGGGGAAGATATAAAGTTGTTACCAATTTACAACTCCTCTCTCATTTTTGTCTCGCCTGCGTAGCAAAAAACGAGACATAGGTGCCGCTTTTCCGGTGACGGTGACGGCGGCGGCGGCGGCGGCGGCGGCGGCGTCAACATCAAAAACTTAACCGAAGGTTAAGTTTTTGAAATTTTGATATAATTTTAAAAGTATAAGTTCTTAGTCAATGAAACTATGACTGTAGGGTAATCAAGTATCCCCAATCATGTGAGTAGAATTTCAGATCACAAAGTCAAGGTCAAAGGTCATTTCAGGTCAACAGACTTGGACTATGTTGTAGCATCATCATCAAGATTTTCAAAATGCTTCTTCTTCGTTATTTTTCATCCAATTTGGATTCTGATTGTTTCATATGATAGAGCTAGGAAAGGGATTTATAATTTCTACACAGAATCGTGAAATTCATTATCTATGCTAAGTTATGCAAATTTATTCGAAATCACAAAAAAGTCTTCTTCTCCTTCATTTCTCGACAGATTTTGATTTGGTTTGCTTTATATCGTACAGCTAACTTTGGTACACTATACTTGTACACAGAATTTTGAAATTGTTCTCCATTAATTAATTATGGTAATTTATGCAAATTTATTCCAAAAATAACTAAAATTGCTTCTTTTCCCTCATTTCTTGACCGATTTTGATTTGGTTTGCCTTATCTGGTAGAGCTAAATTTGGCACACTAAACTTCTACACAGATTTGTGAGATTTTGCTCCATTGATTATTTATGGTACTTTATGCAAATGAAATGGAATTACTTCCCTTCCAGGGCATCAAATTTTTTAATTTTTTGACCAGTTCAAAAGTGTACTACATAAAATTTACGATATTTGTTGTTGCGAGATGCGGATGAGCGCTACGTCATTGACGTTCTGGTTTATCATATTGAATTGCGTTATGCAGGCGAGACCGCCAAGAGCGTTTCCCTTGTTAACACATTACTTAAAGAAAGGTTCATGACATTTGCAAATGAATGTATACACACGTTGTTGTTTAATTTAGGATTTTGTGTAGTTTTGTGCAATTTTTCAAATCAGGGCCCTGTCTTATGCAGAGTTATGATTGGTCCAAATCAATCGCAAGTCCTCCAATTAATCGCAAGTTTGCACTCTCCTATCTCTTATATACATTTAGATCAATATCAATTCTTAATAAAAAATCTAAAAATTCAAGAATTTCAAAATTTGATGTTCTGATTCAGTGTACCATAACTTTTGATATTTTGCAGCATTACTAGAGTCAAACCTGCTTTAGTGACCACCTGTATAGAAAGACCACCTCACCTGTCTATACAATTTTATAAAGACTACATTTTTTGTCTCCCTTGAGCACAGTGTCCCATTGAAACCTGTATTAAAGGAACCTGTACATAAAGAACACCTGCTCACAAAGACCACTTTTCTTGTCTCCCTTGAGCAGTCCTTATACACAGGTTTCACTGTATATTTCTGTAAACGTATATTAACCAATGTGGGAAAGTTTCATGCAAGCAAATGGTTTAACTGGGACCCGTTACACAAAGCCTTTTTTCATTGACAAACGACAAAAATCAGTGACAAATCTGTTGACAACCAATCAGAAGCAAGGATTTCAGTAGCTTATAACAAAAACTGTCATTTGTCACTGATGACAAGTTTTGTGAAACACCCCGTTATTTTATTTTGCTATGGTTTCACAGGCCTACGGGAGACAGCATCTCTATAGCCTCGTCAAACGAGGGCAGTATGACAATCCCACATCGCACGACCTCTGACCCCATGCAAAGCATGCTGGGTACCAGCTACGGTAGCAACGAGAGTGGTAAGAGTCAAAACGTGGGAATTTTGTTTTGTGTTTTTGGTCGTAAGAAAACTCCAAGAAGCATACCATATCAACTATATCTATATGGCCCGAATTCACAAAGGAGGTTTGTCGACAAACCGAGGTTTATGTACGTCATATGACGCGTTTTGACACGTTTTTTACAAACCTGGTTTGTAAAAATGCGTCGAAACCAAACCAAGGTTTGTCGTCAAACCTCCTTTGTGAATTCGGGCCTATGTGTTTGTACCTTATGATGGCTCAGAAAACATCTGCTTTTGTTTGTTTTGATGATTTTTCAGTTTAACCTTAACATAAAAAGTATTTAATTTTGATTGCTAGTCTGAGCCTACATGTATTTCCTTTGATGCTTTTACTACAAAAAAGTGCCTACTACAAATGACAAATGTTTGAATACTATTGTGCTTGTGTATGTATCTCTACAACTACTACAATATTAATAGTAATAATAATAATATTTTGGTTTTATATAGTGCTTTGTACATCTACAATGTCTCTAAGTGCTTTACAGATATACTACAAGCCATATTACTGTAACAGTGACTACTTTAATTTGCATGATTACCTCTTACAGAGCACTACTAATATTGCTAAAGATACTTCATCTACTACAAGTTCTATATATATTTTTTCTATTCCTTCAACATTTTTGTTTCATAACAAATGCATGTATACCTTTTGTGTTCATTTTTCCTGCTTCCCTTGTGTTATTCCCTTTCTTCCGTGTAGTTCATGTTATTCTGAAAGTTTCATTAATTGAAAAATGTCAAGTTCGATAAGGATAGAAAAACTGAAGAAAGAGAAGAAAAGGTTAATTGTAACCAGTTCTTAAATTGTTCAACTTTATACAGAATCAGGTGGCTATGTCACAAAACAATTTGTACCGGTATGTTTTTTTTTGTTTAAACATATTTGTGGCTTTGATATATATAAACACTTCAATTTTGTATTGTTTTCAATTATACAGGTGTTGAACAATCATAAACAAGATCAGAACATTTTGTTTTGTGCTTTTATCTTCCTATCTACCATAGTAAGAAAGAGGAGAAATCAGTCCACAACTTCAGTGCATACATTAAATTCATTTCAATATCAAAACAGTTTTTTAAAAACTTAAGTATTGAACTCTTGAAACTAACACCACAAGGCAAAATGCAAAGTCCTACATGTATGTTCTTTCACAAATCAAAAGTTTTTGGGCATTGTGTAATGTTTTTCTAAACTTAATTTCAGATGTTATGTTATCTTTGTTGGTAATTGAAGTGGGGAGCTGATTCTTTCAGCTCTTCAGGAAATAATTTTCCATGATTTTGTGTTTTCTTTTGTCCAATCCTGCTTCATCTTCGCATCAGATCCCGACCCTTCTTCTGCATCTACTAACTTCTCATCCATGATGTATTACTCTACTGTGTTAACAGACCTCAACGATTATGATAATAGTGCATGTGAGTTCCATAGAAATCATGTGTGATTTGGTGGGTGTGTTGATACACATTGACATTTACCTTGCTTTATCTATTTTGAAGCAAATATATAAACACTCCATCATTTATTTGACCTATACTGTACATATATAATATCTTATAGCATGGGAAAATCTGACCACTTATTTTTGCTAAGCTTTCTTTCATATTTTTTCTGAAAGGGTACTATCCCTGTGTGTTATTAAAGAAACTCATCCAATTTTCATGTTGCATTATGTGTCTCTTTGATATATATTCAATAACTGTTCCATTACTGATGCCTTTAAAAGTCTAACATGATTTATTTGTCACTTGTTTATACAGATTACTCTGTCGTAATAATTTAATAACATTGCATGTATTCAAGAACATTATTTACTCTCCTTTATTAAACATTATTTTAGAAGATCATTATGATTAAATACATGCATGTATACAAGTCTAATAATGTGATAGCAATGCAGGTCAACTAATCTAGACGTACAGTCAATTTAAAACTCTGCTGCAAGTGTACTTGTGTCATGTTTTGAATATTCATGTTATGTGTATTTAATATTCAGGTTGTAGATATATATTGAATAGTCATATGTGTGTATATTCATGAGGTATATTGAATATTCATAGATATGTTGGGTATTCATGAAGATGTGTTGGATATTCATGAATATGTAATGAATATTCATTTCAGCTGGTGAAACGAGCAGCGAACCAGCCAATCACAGCATGGCATTTCAGCTCCAACCTGCCTTAGTGAAGCTGTTCAACAGACGGGGGTCGGACGAAATCTCGGCCAGAGAGTCAGTGAAAGAACATCTATGGAATATGCACTTCAAGGAGTATGGGAGGTATGTGCATGTAGCTGAGAGAGAGAGAGAAAGAGGGTAGAAGGGGGGGGGGGGTGAGATAAAGATATTGAGGAATACACAAATACAAAAAAGTGAAAATGAATAGGGAATGGGAAGGAAAGAGGGAGAGAGAGGATGGGAATGAGCGGTGTCATTCAAATTTAAAAGAGATATGAAGAAGACAAGAAAATAAACAGAGAATACATGTTAGAGGATGGTAATCAGAAAGAGATGGAGAAATCATCGAAGGAGAGAAATAGACAATGGTCAGATGATTATCTAAATAAACAAAGAGAGAGTGTAGAAAAGATATAGACTTAAAAAAAAAGAAGAGTAAAGTGATCAAGAGAAAACACACTCAGAATGGTATGTTTGAGAGGATTAAAGAGAGAGATCAAGAGTTAGCGGACAGAATACAACTATATGTATATGGTGTTGTAGAACACACAAAAAAAATCTAAACCTGAATGGTTGCTTGCATTTTTTTGGTTTCATTGTAGGGGTGTGTGCATGTATCGTACAGTAGAGACCCAGCATCTGATCGTCAAGGGTCTACCAGACAGCATAAGAGGCGAGATGTGGATGCTATATTCTGGTGCTATAAATGAGGTTAGTCTCGCATAGTATAATTAATGTCTCCCCCCCACCCCCAGAGTTTGTAGAATAACTATGTAGGACATTAATCGCTTAGGGCAAATTCATCACAGCAAAATAGATTATACATATATACATGTAGTAGCTGCTGTATATAAATTGATCTAGTCATTATCATTATTATCAATACTCCATATGTGAATTTCAATGCGGCATCTAACCCTTGATTTGGACAACTGTGCATTACATGTGCGTGTACCTCTACATGTTCTGTTTCCAATCACATATTGCCCTCAAAATACAATACTAATGCTTTACAGCTGTTTTGTATTACATGAAGAAAGATATTCATATATTTTCAGGATTTAACCCTTAGGGGACAATCATTCCACATTTGTGTGTGGTTTGGCTAAACAAATTCTGATTCACAGCCCTAGAAAAATAAAGCAGGTGCATGAGTATAAAGAGAGAAAAATTCTGCATACACTGCATCCATTTTTTTCTTGCATGACCATATTTTGTTTGATGCCAGGAATTTCTAAAACCAGAAAATTAGCTAGTTCTGAATCATTATTTCAATCTAAATGTTCAATTTTCTCAACTTTTTGACTTCGGTACCGGTAGTCTGTACATTCACATAAATAATGTTCTTAGAGACATTACATTTTATTAGAACAATGTAGCAATAAAAAAAATATAATTTTTGCTATTTTAAAGAACAACATATGATCAATTTAGCCCTTAAAATAAATCCTGTCCTGAAAGTGTCCATATCCTTTTGAATTTTACTTTCATTTCCTTACCCATTAGATGGCTACCCAACCAGGCTACTACCAGTCGCTAGTTGAAAAGAGTCTGGGAAAGGAGACTATCGCAACAGACGAGATAGAGAGAGACCTACACAGGTGATTTGTGCTTTTGATGATATATTTATTTCACGCATTTACAATTATAACACATTTTGATTTTTATCTTGTTTTGTATCAATGTATTCTGTATGTTTTGCATTGTAAAATGAGCAGCTTTGACTAGCTTTTGTGCTGCATGTTCAGTATTTTCTTTTCAAAATTTCAATAAACCTATTCAATTAATCAATCAAAAAATGTAAATGCATGTACTGTAAATGCATGTACCGTATATGATGCATTAAACTTTGTATGATAATCAGTGAGTACACATATGCATGTACAATAATAGGTTAAACAGGAAGAAGTACACTTGTATGCAGCGGCTGATAAGAAAATTATTTACCACAATATTGTAATTAATCTGTAATAATTCATCTTAATTGATATGCTTTAATTGTGATTTCCTTTAGATCACTACCTGAGCACCCTGCCTTCCAGTCAGAGCTAGGTATAGCAGCCCTCAGGAGGGTCCTTACTGCCTATGCCTATCGCAACCCTACCATTGGTAAGTGTCTACCCTCCAAATATTCAGTCCTGGTAATGAAAAAAATAAACATCATGCCTTCTGTATCCTACAATATTAGGGTTTTTATAGTAACAATCATTAATTGATTCATTATTGCCAAATAAATAGTTAGCAATTAAAGATTCAATGCCTAGATTGGCTAGGACTCCCTACATATAGTGAAATGTTTATTGTAAGACCGCTCAAGGGAAACAGAAAGGTGGTCTTCATAGGCAGAAGGTCTTTAAGTGCAAGTTTCTGTAATGCATATTTTCATTAGAAATACTTTACCGGGCAAGCACTGAATCCAATGACAGGGGGTAATAGTATATCTGTAAAGCGCTTAGAGACGTCCGAGATGTATTAAGCGATATATAAAAGCATAATATTATTATTATATTATTACTGGAAACAAACAAATTTGGTCGTTATGGACAAGGACTATTTCTTTGAAGGTGATCACTAGTAGTTTGACAGTTTTTTTTTGTAATAGTAACTGAGTGCTCAAATCTTGCTTGTGTTCTATAATAACACTGCAATGCATATTTTAAGAGAAATGGGGAAAAGGGAATCTCATTTCCTAAACAGTATATACATGTTATACAGTCAAACCGGTCTATAGCGACCACCCAAGGGAAACAAAAAAAGTGGTCTTTGTAAACAGGTTCCTTTAGTACATGTTTCAATGAGAAACCATTTTCAAGGGAAACAAAAAATGTAGTCTCTGTAGACAGGTGGTCACGAAAGCAGGTTTGACTGTTGTAATACTACTAATAATAACTTCTACTTTTTATAAACAATTTATATCAATGATGCAAGTAAAAGTGAAATTATTAAACATAAGGTAACAAGGTAAGGCTACAATTAAGAACTAGGTTGAATATGCCTTTTCCATTGGATTGGTTTTCTTTTCCTTTGCCTAGGTTACTGCCAAGCAATGAACATAGTCACATCGGTGCTGCTCCTGTATGCCAACGAAGAAGAGGCCTTCTGGCTTCTAACAGCCGTATGTGAACGGCTCCTACCAGACTACTACAACACTAGGGTCATAGGAGCTTTAGTTGATCAGGGTAGGTACATGAACATCAAGAAAATCTTTACTTCTGTGAAACAATTAACATTCATGTAGTTACTTTCAATATATTTCACAAAGGATTTTTTTTCCATACCTTGACCTATCAATTTACATATAGATCAATGATCCGTGGTTGCATGAGCTAGAGCTTGAATTTTGAAAGTATTTATTTTGAAAATACTTGTAATGAAATATAATTTTATGCTATCCAAAATATAACTTTACAACAATATGATTATGAAGAGGTGAGTTGGCTCAGTTGGTAAAGTGTCTGCCTGTCGAACCAAAGATTTTAGGTTTGAATCCAACCCGGGCGGATGACTGGAGCCTGTGTTGTGTGTTAACGTACCCATCCCCTGCTTCATAGATGCAGGCTAGGTTACAGTTGGGAACACTCTGTCCCATGGATAGGTTGTTAATTGGGGGCCCTATGTTGAGGAGAGTAACAACCTCTGCATATTAAGAGCCCACTCCAATATTTGAATAAGAGTAAAGGGAAACCCTGTCTTAGTGGTCCACCTGTACATCCCCAATCAGTTATACCGGGAGGAGAGATCCGAGGGTTACAGTGATTCAGTTCGCTCTTCCCTTCCCAGGTACAGATGATGCCAAATGCTCAATAATGACACTGTATATAATACAAATATGTTTGTCTATACAGGAATTATTAGTTGACCGTGACATCGTCTGTCTGTCTTTGTCTACCTGTATATCTAGGTGTGTTTGAGGAATTGACAAAGGAAACCATGGCAGAGCTCTACATGAAGATGGATGAACTAGGCATGCTGAGTATGATCTCACTTTCATGGTTCTTAACCGTCTTTCTCAGGTATGTATTATGTAATATTTCAAGAATCCTGTTCCTTAACTGCCAGGGAAAAAAATACTTTAAACATTTCGGGGGCTACTTTTCAAGCTTGCTAGCATGAAAATAACAATCTTTAATTTGTTTTGCATTGAACTCTATGCACATTTTTGAGGGCTCTTTTATGACTTTCGGGGGGCTCTTTTTGGCATTTCGGGGGCTAATTCACCCCAAGCCCCCATGTATTTTTTTCACTGTTAACTGCATTTTCTTTATGAATATGTTATTTCAAGCATAACTGTCGGTGCACCATTATCCTTTCTTTGGAAAGACAAGACATTAATGTTGACATATACAATTTTTAGCAATTCTTTTGTTCTTGTTGTATATTTTGCTAAATCAAACAAGAGCAACTTTAAGTATCAACATGTAATTGTTGATAGCTGGCCACACCAGCCGTCCCTGTAAGGATAGTCCCAAAGAAGCATATCACATTAGTCTGCTACTGCTCATATGATATTAGATTTCTATTTGTCTGTTTATTTAAAAAAAAAAGTATTTTGTAAAGAGTCAAGAAAATTTTACCACCCCAAAGGTACGTTTATTCATATACACACTTTCATTAGAGAGGCATATCATCATAGGTATTCATCCATCAACTATCATTTAGCCAAATATGTAAATAGCTTGAGGTATGAACAATTACGATAAATTAATTTTTTATCATTTTAATTGTGCATGTATATGACCATTTCCGTTTTTATGCACATTTTATGTAAACATTGCATTCATTGGTCCTTGGACTACTGCATTGTGCATTGTATATGTTATATGTTGATATTAATACATTGAATTAAATTAAATGCAACGAGAATCTCCATATTCCTTTTTGTCAGTGTGATGCCGTTTGAGAGCGCAGTTAACATCATGGACTGCTTCTTCTACGACGGGGCAAAGGTCATCTTCCAGATTGCCCTGGCCGTCCTTGACGCCAACTACGAGGCCCTGCTCGAGAGCGAGGACGATGGCCAGGCCATGGTCGTACTGAGCCGCTATCTGGAGAACGTGGGGAACCGCGATGCCACCATGCCTCACGTCCATCATGCGTCGGTCATCGTAGGAAATGAGGGAAAGGATCCGACACGGGTAAAAAAAAAATCATTCAAAAGTCCTCTTTGGTTGCTTCCATGCTCTCTTGAAAATTGATAAAATCCCCTTTTGCTTTCATACACGACCCATTTACTACACTGTATTTACTCAAAGTTGAAATAATTTTTTTTTCCCCTTCACAATCATTAACAATGAGTGTTTTTATGTTAAGTAGAGAATTATCGCAGATTGGAGTGGAAATGCCCAACATTTCTATCATTAATAACTACAGAAATATATGTGTACGAGAATTCAAAGTAGAAAAGCGAATGTTATGTATTAGTCTGCTGTCATAAAATTACACAGTTGGGTACATCACTACTTACATAATTTCTTCATATCTGTAGTTCTCTAGACTCTGGAATTATACAGGCCTGGTTATTAACAGTAATACATACCATTGTGAAGCCTGTTTCATCTGTCGACCAATTCAAGAAACTTCTAAAGTCCCATATATTTTGTTAGAGGACATTTTATTGTATTAAGTCACCTGGGGGTGTTTCACAAAGATCCTAAGTCGAACTTAACTCTAAGTTGGACTTAACAATTATGGAGAGCCATTTGTAGCCTTAAAATAAAATATATTCAAAAGCAAAAATTCAAGTATTTTAGCCTTTTCATAAATTTCACATCAAGTACATGAAATCTCCTTGATAATAGAAAATAATACTGACATGCTAGTGGCCCACATGCTGTGGATCAATGTGTGCAGCATTTTGTTACTGCAAGGAAAAAGGTCCCTATAAAATACCTTTTGGATTGGATTGGTGATGAATGAAAGATACATTATTCTCCAAAACAATGCCTTTCATATTTTTTCTTTGTACTACCTAATCTTTGTTTGCAGGTTTCCGTGGAGGTATCGGAGCTCATCTACAACTCCTACTCAAAGTTTGGCTCCATCTCCAACGAGAAGATCGAGAAGATGCGGTTGAACGAGAGACTGAGAGTCGTGCAGGGGCTGGAAGACACTGCCAGGAGGAGCGTCATCAGGAGTCTAGTGTCGGACACGGCGTTTGGAACCAAAGAGCTGGAAGAACTTTATCTCCTCTTTAAGGTAAGAGAGGTGTAGTAAGGGTAGGAAAGGAAGAAGATGATGATGGTGATGAAAATGACGAAAAAAAAGCAAATTGCAATGGTGATTATGACAAAGACCATCTTCATTGTGGTCATGATGATGGTGGTGGTGGTGATGTTGATAATTGTGATGATGTTGAAAATTTATGGTGAGAATCACGAGAATGCTTATAATGATGATGGTTTCTACTATGGAGGTAGAGGATATACATGCACATTTAACTTCATAAAACTTTTTTTCTCTCATTCTCTCTCTCTCTCTCTCTCTCTCTTTCTCTCTCCAGGAGGAGTTTCTCACAGGTAACCTTCTCTCCAACACACCAATCATGGACCACGCCCAACACTTCCTCTCTCTGGTCAAGCTAGACCAAGAGAAGTACCTCACACTCTTCCTGGCCCTGTCCCCTTGGGCTACCGGCTCCCAGGCTGAAAAGCTTGCTATAAGGTCCTTTAGGGTGAGTTTTTTTTTCTTACTCTCTCTTTCTCTATCTCTTCCTCCTTCTGTATGTTCCTTTTTTTTCTTTTCTTACTCTTTCTTGTTATATATAATGTGTACTTAATTTCTATTTTGATGTTACATTTGCTTGTGCCTCTCCTTTCTTTATTTTATTGTTTATCCTTGATTTGTTACTCTCTTATTTGTCCTTATGCTATATTTTTTCTAGTCTTCTGAGAACATCAGTTGGTTGGGCGGAGGGACAATTACGGTTACAGTGACTATTAAGTTTGCTCTCTTCTTCCTTGGCCGCCATCTTTTGCACTCAAAATAATGATACAAACATTTGTATTTTGCATAGTTTTTGTGATTCTAATTTTGTAATTACCATGATTATATTGATTTATTGTTGTATTTCTTGAAATTGCCGAATAAATAATACAAAACAAAAAAGGGAAACCATTTTTTAATTATTAAAAAAAAGAAGATGTTTCTCTATATGTGATCCCCAATAAAGGTGGTTTCACTGTATGTTGTGATATCTGTCTTCTCACATTGTTTTTGGTGTGTGTTTTACCTTTTTATTTTTTTTCATTTCCCCCTGTTTTAAAGGTTTTGGATCCTGATCACGACTGCCTTATCAACTTCAGGGATTTCTCTTGGGGCATGGGCATCATGTGCCGCGGTGAGATGCCCCACAGGCTCCGGCTCTTATACGAGATGCACCTACCCCCTGCCCTAACGCCAGAAGACCTAGAGAGTCCCAGTGAAACTCACACAGGTAAGGAAGGGAGGAAGTTCAGATGATGAAATAGCCATACCACAGAAAATATTCCATTAGTTGCACAATCCCCCTATACTTTCTCCATTGTATTATGTAGTAAGACCAAGTTACATTCATAAAGGTGAGAAAGGGTGGTAACTCAAATGATTTAGTAGTCATAGATGCTATTATGTTGATTGTACCTACTTCCTGCCCTAACTGCTGCTGATTTAGAGAGCCCAGTTATTCATGTGAGAAAGGGAGGACGATATGTAGATTCAGTAGCACTTTGTTGATTCATAGAACCTTAGAATCAGACTACTTCATTGAATGGCCCTATCCCTTAGTTCAGTTGACTGAAAGAGCCCAAGTGAGTCTATTCAGGTAAGAAGGGGGGGGGGGGTAGTTTGAATAATTCTGTAACTACAGGCATAGGCTCTTGTATGAGATGCACCTACTCCCTGCCCTAACCCAGGTGATCTAGACAGCTCAAGTTTAACTCATAGTAAAGGTGAGAAAGGGAGTAAGTCATGTTGATCCAATGACAAGTTAATGGATTAAAAGGGCCACTGATTCAGGCTGTTCTGGTAATTGCACTTACCCCCTGCTCCTACTCAAGCAGACTCAGATACCCTTAGTAAAATTCACACAGATGAAGAAGGGAGGTAGGGCATATCATCCAACAGCACAAATGATCCACCGCATTAGACTGCCATGTAGGTCGCACCTACCTCCTACCCTAAGTATATCTTCCAGTTAATCCAACATTCCTCCCAGATGCTTTTTCCACAATGTTTTTTGATAATAATAATAATAATAATATGTCTTGTTTACCCAGGGTAGCCTCATCAGTATTCATACTGTTCTCCCTGAGAGCCCTGCAATCATATTGTTGTCCCGGTCATCGGATTCAGGCTCACCTGCACACAATGTATGCACATTCTCCACTCCTTGGGGAGCATTCCATTATTCATTATTTCTTTTGATTGGTACATGACAGAGTGCAGTACAGTGGAAGTCCCTTCACCAGACGACTGCGATGTTGACGTGGGAAGTGCCGATGATGCTGACGAAGCCTTGGATGCAGCAGAGTTCTTCGGACCGGACGCGACACCATCTACCACAACTTCATCTTCTACCGCCGTCCCAGCAACAGGAGCAGCCAAACCTCAGGTAGAAACATGAGCAATATCAGGGGGGCTTTTCACAAAACCTTTTTTTTCAATGACAAATGACAAAAATCAGTGACAAATCTGCTGATAACCAATCAGAAGCAAGTATTTCAGTAGCTTATAACAAAAACTGTCACTTATCACTGATGGCAAGTTTTGTGAAACGCCCCCCAGGTGGCAGGTCACATGAATCATTCCATGCCACATATTAACCTGTTGCCTACTAGAACCGGGTGGTTGCTGTATTAAGCCTATGGGAATAACAGAATTCACTAGTCAATGGGTTAAGATCATAGATCTCTGATTGGACGATACTACAAGCCCTAAAATGACTGTTGAAACATGGTACATGTGCATGACAACGTCAGGAAAATAGTATCAAAATATTGCTCAGGAATTTATTCTTATTTTTGTTTGTGCTTGATCAAAGTAAGGACCTGAAAAATGTATGTAAAGTATGGATATGGGCAGTCAGACAATTACAGCATGCAAACTCTTGATTGGGTAGAATTTTTCTACTATCAAAGATTTTTCTGTCTCAAAATCCATACAATGATTTGCTTATCACGCAAATATTGAAAATATTTTCCCCCAAGTATTGAGATAGCGCGATGGCTCAGTGGTAGAGCAGTGGTCTTGCAACTGGGAGGTCACATGTTCAAAACCTTTGGTAAGGCTTTAATCCTCATTACCAAGCCACCTGGTGGCTTACTTACAAGCATATACATGCTTTCTGAGCAGTCCTGAAACATCATCACATAATATTGTTTAGCCAGAAGGGCATTAACTCTTAATACCCTTCTGGCTGCAAAGAAAAGAGATGCATGTGTCTCTTATAAAATTCCTGTTTATTGATTGTTTTAAAAGTAAACCTGTTATAAAGAATGAAATAATCAGTTGTTATTATCAGTTATTTAAAATCCTTCTCAGCCAGGTCAGGTCACTCCTATTGCATTAATTTCCATCCACTCAATGTTATTTCCCCATAGGATTCTCCACAGCGTGCCAGTCTTGGTTCCAGCCCTCGATCACCATCATCAGTGACCTCTCCTTCCAAGCGTTCCAATCCGTTCCTGACGAACCCCGACCCCACCTTGCCTCCGCCCGATGAGGATACCGTCTTTGAGTTCGCCAGCGATGATAGCAGCCTCAAGATCAGCAGCGAATCCGTGAAGGAGACACAGAAACGTGAGAATTTCTCTTTTAATTCTTTTTTAATTGTTTGCTCTTACTCCTGGGGGGCATTTCACAAAACTTGTCATCATTGACAAATGACAGTTTTTGTTACAAGCTACTAAAATCCTTGCTTCTGATTTATCTTATCTTTGTCATTTGTCATTGAAAGAAGGCTTTGTGAAACAGGTCCCTGTATTAGTTCTTGTACATGTAGATACGGTTTTAGAAAACAGTTAAACCTGTCTATTGAAGCCACCCAAGGGAAACTGAAAAAATAGCCACTGTGGCCTTTCTAGACACATTCTACAACATACATTTTCTTAATTTCCAGAACTCAACTATTATTATTAATTGGAAAATCCAGTATAACCTCAACAAGAAGAATTTGAAGATTCTGAAACTTCACAGAATACACCAATTCTGACAACCTTTCCAAATTGCTTCCAGGCAGTATCTATTACAATCTGATCGCATACTCGCAACTGAACTTTTAATTTTGATTGGATAATTCTTTCTTTTTTCATTGGCAGCTGTAGAGGGTTACCAGTTTTACCTCAAGAAATGGCAGCTAGAGAAGGAGGCGGAGGAAAGAAGAAAGAGCTTTAAACATCTACCTCGCATGAATCAGGTTAGAAAAGAATGTAAATTTGCTTCTAGATTCTTGATGGAGAGTAAAGCTAAAGTGTCATAGAACAGAAATAATAATAATAATAATAGTGGAGTGTTCTATAGTGCTCATGTCTGGCACATTGCTACTCCTGGCACTCCATTATCATTACCCTGGCTTTAGCACGGCTGCCTTTACAATGCTCAAGCATTTCATGGAACAAATTCCTGCCAGGTACCCATTTACATCACCTGTGTGGAGTGTGGCAATTGTAGATTAATGTCTTGCCAAAGGACGAAGGTGCTGCGACATAGTCCAGAGACTTATCTACTGGACCACAACACATGTTACATAAAGATAAGACATTGCTTGAATGCTTTATTATCGCGGTAATGATATGATACTTTGATGATACTTTGTATTAAGCGCAGTAGAGTATAGTCATATAGTAGCTGTGCTATATAAATGGACCTATTATAAGAATTATTAAGATATGATCAACAATCAAAGTATTTCCCTGTCAAATAGAAGTTGGAGATACGGTCTTTAAAGGGAAGAAAGTTGTAGTTTTTATCGAAGATGATTTCCAGCAAGTTTTTGTTAGGTGGTTTTTATTTTACTGGTTCAAACAGTCAATCTACTGCAGGATAAACAATCCAGAATGAATTATACCCATTTTCTCTCGACATACGATGCACATACCAGAGCTCAAGATTACCTTTAATCTAACTGCTGGATCATGTCATTCTTTTTGCACCCATTCAGGAGCAATTCATCCAGCTCCTGAAGAGCCTCTACGACATGTTTGTAGACCATCCCGAGGAGCAGGAGCTCTACCGTTCCCTAGCAACCGTCGGAACCCTCCTCTTTGAGCTCGGGGAGGTAGGCAAGAGATTCTACAAGCGCAGTCAGTCGTCTCCAGCCAAGACATGGAGTGAGCCCTCAACGTCCAGTGCTTCACTCGGAGAGGAGGTGCACGAGGACTGCATAGGTGCTGCTGCGATGGGCGGTGAAACTCAAGGTGGTGATGGCGTGGAAAAGCCTGGGGAGGAGTCTACTGGTGGTGTGCGTTGTGTTGAAGAGGCTGGGGAGGAGTCTGGAAGGGAAGCGGATGAAGGTGTTGATGATGGTAGTCTCTCGGCTAGGAGTTGTGTGACTGGTGGTGATGGAGATGGTGCTTTAACGGATGCGATGAAGGCTGTGTCTATTGAAGAGCCTGTTGATGAGTCTAGCAATGCAGATCCCAGTGCTGTAACTGAACACTGTGATTCAGATCCTGCCAAAGTGACTGGAAAAGAGTCTAGCCCCAATACCCCCAGCCACACGGCACAATCTGACAACACTGCCGCAGCACTGCCTAGGCCAGACACACTTCCTACAGAACTGCCTAAGCTGGTGGATAATGAGTGGGCAATTGCATTTGAACAGTTCCTGGCTTCAATGTTGAATGAGTCATCGTTGGTGAAGTTTTTTGAGAAACCTGTACAAGTCTCAGGACTAATCGAGAGTTTTAGACAGCGCAAGGTTTTCCAAAGACAACTAAGTGACGTCAGCTTCAGTAGTTCTCCATAAGGCACAGATGACCATTTCATCTGATGAAATCTATTTGAAATACACATTGATTGAAAAATGAAACCATACATTATGACATCATTATGACATCATGTATAGGTCTAGCAACACAAGTGCTACAGGGGTACCTGTGCAAATTGAGAAGTTTAGCTAACGCAAGGCTTACCAGAAACAACTAAGTGATATCGACTTTGGTACTTTTTGTGATCCATAGATGGCCATAACCATTTCAAATACACATCGATTGCAAAATGAATCCATATTGCTATCACACCATGGGCAACGATACCATAAGTGCTGTAGCTGCATCTTTGCCGGTCTTGAATTTGAGATATCGTAAAATTTTCCAGAAACAACTTGGTGATGTCAGTACTTTGCGAAAAGCCATAGTAGGCCCTAACATCAGTTGAAATCTATTTCAAATACACATCGATTGAAAAATGAATACCTTTATAGATGGAGCATTTTAGGCAACTCTAGGTTTTCCAGAAACAAGTAAGTGACGTCATCTTCGGTAGCTCACCTCTAGATGGCCATAATTTCATTGGAGTGAAATTGATGCCCATTATATGACACCATCTACAGCGACACCACAAGGGCTACAAGTGTACCATTAGCAGTTCAAGAATTTGAGACAATACAGAGTTTTCCAGAAACATTGTAGTGATGTCAGTTTCAGCAACCTTACAATATTAGCAAAAATGACCAAAGGCACTCCTTTGCATTTTGATCTTCAAGGGTTATGGAGATAATTCGAGAGCAGAAAATGAAAGACCATTACCAGAATGACTTCCTTCACCTACATTGTATGTTACAATCTAGATTATGGGATATTCTCGTCTCAAAAAATGATTGAATCATCGTTTAGCATCCTTTTTTTTGACGAGACGGGATTAGATGTTTCATTTCCCTTGTGGCCCTTCTCCAAACCTTCCAGTCCTAAGCATCCGCCTGGGGGAGGTTTCATAAAATTTGTTATCTATAACAACTGCTAAATTTCTATGACAAATTTGCTCTCAGCCAATCAGATGCCATGATTTCAGTAGCTTATAACAGTAGCTTGTTAACTGTTATTGATATCAAGTTTTATGAAACAGGGCCAGATGCTCTCGTGTCTTCTTGAAGCTGTTGTAAAATCATGTGAAGATAATGTATTAAATCAAAAATTCTAACTACTTCACTTTCTATATCCCTTAGACAAAGTTTGTATATCGTGGCTTTACAAATTTCCCACATTTTATTATCTTTTTAGAGTATGTCCATGTGTTCAAACTTTCCATTGATTGTTACGGTAAACGTGCTTATGTGTAGTAAGAATCTGCAGTAATTTAAAATTGCAATTTCATATTTGTTGGAAAGTTTGAAAAATCTTCCATATCTACATGTGTAATTTGATCTTAGAAAATGTATACAGTCCAAACATATATAGCTTTACAATTTCCGTAGCCTCTTTTTAGTTGTTTATGCCATATTTCATTCCCTTATATGTATGTACATGTTTTGTAGGCCTCGTAAATATATTGGTAACCATCAGTCTCAAGAGACAATCGAGCTTGTGCCTATAAAGTCTGTCTGGTAGGCTTACTTAGAAACATTGTGTCCGGTAAGGTGTAAGACCTAAGTGAAAAAAGCGGAAAACGTAGGGTTTTCACAAAGCATCGGGTAGTTTAACCAAGCCATTTGTAGATGAGAAACGTTACTTTACTTCACAAACATTATCCCTGACATTTCGTGACAAAAGGGGAATGTTTTCATAGTAGGTCGGGTATATAACCCCTCCTGACCTGTCGCAATGACTCAATGATTACAAGTAAGCTGTCTGGTATATAGTTTACTTGAACCTCCTGTTGTGGAATGTCTTGTATATAATTTTTTCCTTTTGTATTTTTATTTGTATTTAAGCTTTTTAGAGGAAGAATTATAACGTGCTAGAGAGTTATATGTTTGTCCATCCATGGGCCAACTTAAATAGATCTCCAATGTTGGCAACATCGAGTTTGTTGAATTAGGATGATTTTGAAGAAAGAATTGATGCCTCATATATTTAAACCTACATACTTCTCTTATGATCTGATATTTCTGTCTACTTCAATACCAACGAAAACAACAACAATATATTATTATTCCGTCAACAAATACAGGCTATTTTGACATGGCTGCCTTTTTATGTATATAAATGTTGAAGTAAACTCCACTTTAATACATATTTCAATGAGATGTTCGTGAATTTATACTTATGATGGTTTCATGCAACGATGCCCTTTTTATTAAGGCACAATTGTAAGTTAAGGATGACAGCTTGAGCAACATTATGAAGTAAAGTGGCCCACAGCTCAACGATAATTGTTGAACCTTCAGTTTACAATTTTCAAACTCCAGCTTGATTTATATACCTGGTACTACTCTTAATTTTATAGTTATTTTGATTGAGAATATATATTTTTGACAACTGGTATAGTAAGTCATGTATGGGGCGACAGATACAATCACCACATATATTTTTTCTTCCCCCCCCCTTTTTCTTTTATTGGAATCATTCCGCCATTCTTGTGCAATTGTTTTCATAGATTTATTTGCTGAAATGAATCGTGCACTTAGGTATATTTTCTATTGAATATGAACATTTTAGTTTCAGAGATTTTATTCCACATTCTCCAATCGTATTGTATTTACTATGATTTGTTAAAGTGTTTATACAATGTAAATGTAGTTTGTGAAGCGATTAACTTCTGTTTATGGCGTGCATACATGTATAGCAGAATAGCGTTTTGACTTCATTGTTTTGTTTACCCAATACAACAAATATTCATAGGTCTACTTTCACAGATAGTAATATTGGCCAGTAAAAACTATTCAGTTATGCAGTAGTGTATCTAAAATTGCTAGGAAAAATATAAAGTATAATGTTATGTATTTTCATTTTCATCATTTTAAAGCACAAATTAAATAATATGTACATGTATAAGAAAACAAAACAAAAACTAGCATAATAGTCAGAGAATGCCTGTCTATAAAGACTGTTTTTCTTGCCCGATGCATATATTTCTCACTGAAGTCTGTATTTAAAGATATTGCAAAGTTTTGGGAAATTTTGAAAACTGGGTGGATAGTGATTCTTTACAATTTTGATATATTTGGATTCCCCTGTAGATGTATTATAAAGCACTAGAAATTTTAGCCCCTAGAACACTTGTGCTTTTGAGAAAAATTGAATACAAAAATTTACAGGTGCTCCCGGTAAATTTTGATAAATTCAAATAGCACCTACGGCCGTAGGATGGTAGCTGTGACCATGACAATCTCAGAATATAGAGTTGTGATATATAATTTTCAAACGGAAATAGCAAATTGGTAGATTTTAGTCAAAAAGCATTGTTTTATAGCTTAATTGATATCTTGACCTTGAGAGGGCACTTTAGAACATAAAGGCCCAAATTCACAAAGCAAGGTTTGAGCTCAGACCAAGGTTTGAGCTCAAACCTCCTTTTGTTTCGCCAAACCTCCTTTTGTTCTTTACAAACCAGGTTTGTAAAAAACGCGTAAAACGCGTCATATGACATACGAAAACCAAGGTTTGTCGACAAACCTCCTTTGTGAATTCGGGCCAAAGAGTTGATTATTTACAATTTCATAACTTTAGACTCGATTTCAACCGCGACAATGAGCACTGAATATTGTAGGGTCGCATATGCTTCCAATATGTTCATTTGAACCAAATTCATATGACCCCATACCAAAACTTTGTAATACCTTTAAAAAAAATGTTTATTAAAGATAAATGACCACCCGCCTTTAATGGAATTTAACCTTTCCCTTGATAGGTCTTTTTGATCAGGTTTGACTGAAAATAGTTCAACCTATTTGAAGGCTTGTTCAGATACGGTGTGCTCAACCGCCGCTAGAGAGCTGCTGCGTTTTTTAAAAACATGTTAATGAATGACAACTGTGGACAACAAAGGACTTTTACGTATTCACTGAGCTCTGAGTAAGAAGATATAGAAATGTGATGCATATTACTCTTTACGTTGTTATTTTAAAAAAAAATACTGCAGTTTTGCCACGTTCTATCTGAAAAAGCTTTTAGGGGCCAACCATTTATAAAGGTCATCTGTATATAATGACCACTCTTCCCAATTTCTCTTGGGTGGCCTTAGTAGACAGGTTTGACTGTAGTTGGCATGTGTGGATCACAACCTATGTGTAGTAAGAACAAAGCCTGTTATTCTTTCGTTTCTCTTTTTCTTTTTACTTTGTATTTAAATGTTGAAATAATTGTTGTTCCTACTCAGTTATGCATTGTTTATCTAATTTCATGGATATTTGTAAATTTTAATTTTGAAAGCAATATCAGTGGATAGTCTTTATAAAAGGAATTGAACTAAGCTAATAACTTGTCATGAATATTCATATCAATCAGTTCCATGTAATATCATTATCCTAGGGTGCTTTTTTTTGTGCGAAATGTTCTCACCTTCCTTCAACGAAATATGAACATTTTATTAGAAACTCCCATGAAATTTCATAACACTAACTTACTTATTGTAATGTAAGAATCAGCCTCATAATAGTAGATATGTTCTATATTTTGGTTGCTTTATATTCATTATTATGTGTTATGTAAATGACACAAAACTGATTTTAAGGCGTGTTCAGATATGACCAGGAACTTAAACCAACGCAAAAAAAATAGCGTTTTTATTTTTACGTTT